CATATCAACAAACTCAAACAAAAGGTTGTGTCATTTATGGAATACCAACTTGACTATTTCAAACAGTCTCTTCAGAATTCATGAATAAAAAGAAATGGCTACTATCTACTTGTGGAGAGATTAAATATTGAACCACAGACATTGGAAAAGCATTATTTTATGTTTGATGCTGTAAGTTGATTAACATGGTGTGCAAACATTACTATGGCAACCCATAAACCAATCAGCGATAATCTCACAGAAACTAGACTTTTCATTAAACAGAAGATTATTGAACAACAAATTTGTCGGCCAACTTTCGATAGATTTGCCTTGGACAATAAAGTGCCTGAATCTAGCCATTCTCTGCTCGACTACTCCACTAATGCAACAAACTAACACTGGCTTTAGTTCTACATCATAGCCGGAACATTGCCTAAGGGAAAAATGGCAGCCCATTCAGCACTTACAAATGCACATATAATCTAGTATGTTAGGTAAAGATGAAGCTGGTGAATCTAGTAATGTAATCATCACATATCAGACTTTTGATGCATGCTCCCCTGGATTACAGTTATAGCCAATAACATACCACTTGTATTTCTTGACGACTGGTGATAAAACAAATCAACGAAGGCTTAATTGTATCTTTCATCGTGCCCAGTATTGCAGTTCTACCAATCAATACAAGTGACGAAGGCAACACAATGCCAGTAATGTTGACTACATGTGTATTTTCTCCATACCATTAATGTTTCCATAAATATCTTCCTTTTGCATATGCAGCAACAGTTTTGCAAGTAACGAGGCGATCCCTCCCTTGTAACAGGTTTCCAATGTATTAGTTGTCTAGGGGTGTGAAGAAAAATGACTCTTTAATGCTAATCATTGGTGTTTAATTTGTCAGACAATCCTTGGTTTGGCATCACTGGACAGAGATGGTTGATCTTGTCGGTGTTTACTGTCCACTAACATGTGAAAATGGCATGTAAAGTAAATAGGTTCTCTATAAAAGTCCATGGCTTAGGTGTCCATGGCTAATAGGTGTCTATTACTTTGGTGTCCATTGCTAGGTGTCCATGGCTAATAGGTGTCTATTACTTAGGCGTCCATTGCTAGGTGTCCATGGCTTAGGTGTCCATGGCTAATAGGTGTCTATGACTTAGGCGTCCATTGCTAGGTGTCCATGGCTTAGGTGTCCATGGCTAATAGGTGTCTATGACTTAGGTGTCCATTGCTAGGTGTCCATGGCTTAGGTGTCCATGGCTAATAGGTGTCTATTACTTAGGTGTCCATTGCTAGGTGTCCATGGCTTAGGTGTCCATGGCTAATAGGTATCTATTATTTAGGTGTCCATTGCTAGGTGTCCATGGCTTAGGTGTCCATGGCTAATAGGTGTCTATTACTTAGGTGTCCATTGCTAGGTGTCCATGGCTTAGGTGTCCATGGCTAATAGGTATCTATTATTTAGGTGTCCATTGCTAGGTGTCCATGGCTTAGGTGTCCATGGCTAATAGGTGTCTATTACTTAGGTGTCCATTGCTAGGTGTCCATGGCTAATAGGTGTCCATTACTTAGGTGGTAATGGAGGCTCAATATTTATGTCTTCAATGTCTGGCATATGGCATATAATCGGATAAATCATTGCTCACTCATTTCCATTTAATGCTTTACATCCCGGATATGAATCTAAGTTTTTACACTTGATGAAAGAGTCTTCCAAACAATGCCTTTGTGGTATAAACGTTATACCAAAAAATATACAACTATTACTGTTAATCAGGAGAACTGTTCCTGCTGTTTAATTTAAGAATATTGTAACAAAATAATTAGGAAGACATACATTAGAATGGAACCATGGATTTGAGATATGTGATCAAGACCCTAGAAATCTCAAGATGATATTGTTCTTCTACCATTACATCTCAAAGTGACTTTTATCTCCTTTCTTTTATACCCCCTGAGAGGACTGTTTTGCCATCACTCAAGATTCAACAGAAGATTTTTATTTAACATATATGTACCAGTAGACCTACTATGGTTACCAAAATCCCAAGACAAATAATTTGTCTTCTTTCAAAACAATGTTTTGCGTAAATATCTTTATGAAAATATCAGTGTATAATAAAGACAAAGGCAGGTATGGTGATAAACATTTCAGATCATACAATTACGGGCAAACTGAGAGAATTTTAAGGCAACGTTTTTATGTCCATGCCACTTGAGCACAGAGCAATGATAATTCAAATGTTTTCTTTTCTTTCCATGTGGGACCATGAAAATAAATCTGACAGAATATAAAATGTCAAAGTTGAAATTAGTTAAATGATGCTATATTTCTTGAGATTATAATAATTCCTAAAAAGATTTAATATCACATATAAAAACGTAAAGGTCAAAATTTGAGAATAAGGAGACAGACATAATTGAGTGGCCAAAGACAAATTAGCAGAACTAGAAGAGTTGCTTTATGAGTTTAATTAATACAAAAGATTACATCCAACACTGTTGAGCAATAGTTATCTGTGATAAGGAAACGAACCCTCTGTCTTCGTCTCACTGGTCACAGACAGACGTTACAGACTAGCTGCAAACCTCTCATCAAGGTGCGCTGGAGCAGTGACAAGGATAGCTGTAATTTCCGCAGACTATATTGCTTTCTTCTCTGGCCTTGCAAAGCTCAAAGGAATGTGCCATTTTTACAGGAAAGATTGATGATGATGATATTATCCTGATTTCAAGCAGGTCAACTGTATAATTTCATCACTAACATAATACCCAGTCACTCAATTTAAGTGAGTCGGTAATTGGAAGAAAAGCAATTAATAAAAACCATCAAAGCAAAGCTACACATGACAAGGAAATATTTAAACAACTCTAGTCAGACATACCCCATTTTGTTTGTCTACGTAGCAGGACTTAAAATGACTTTGTACTTACAGTGTACAGTAAAGGTTAAGTGACTTATATCTGTACTCTGACTCCTGATGTTAATCACCTGAAACTCCTACAGAAGCATTAAACAACATTGATTGACGTTGGCAGAATTCTGTACTGAAGCAACCAATCACTACCTGCAATAATGATCAATGATGCTATACAAAGGTCTCAGATTCAAAGGACAATATGTAATTGGCCTTAAATCAAAATTCTTCAGCAAAGTCACATAACACAAACGAGGCACCAGACCAACACCTACAGTAGCATGTGACAAACCCGGTGGTGCGGTCAATGCTGATGGATGGCTGCTGCAGAACTGCGGTTTCTGAATCAAATCACTCACACGAGAGGGTAACATATACAACAAAATAAATGGACCGATGTGGGAATAGGTTCCAGACTGGCATGTAAGCGCAGGGCAAGGGAATGCAATGGGTTATTCATGAGCGCATGATTTGTGTCTAAACAACTGTATACTGGTAGATGCATGGATATGCAGTATCCCTGGATCAAGGATGCCCACAGAATTCAGTCACAGATTGATAAGGACAAGTTGGTTCTACTGCTGGGACATTAGTCCCGTAACTTTACAACTTTTCTTGGAAACTCGATCAGAAAGAGAGATAAAATATCTTGCAGTAATCTGAATTATAAATGGCAAATATTTTAGCTGGATCAAGGTTTATAGGTATGCTTCAGGGTTTGGGGTAAATGCTCTGGACTAAGGTTTAGATATGCTGTAGCAAATTTGTTTGACGTTTCAATGATAACATTTACTTATTCTAACTTTAACACTTGAGATATATTTCACACATCATAATGATCTTGACTGATTATACATGTACAAGGCTTGACCTACAGACTGTAAGTTGTTTGGTGTTCTGGACACATTTCACAGTGGAGGTTTAATCTTTTTTTCTTCACAAGTATGTTATTTCGGGTTAAGTGGTTACTTTTATTTGTCCAACTGGACATTGATTACCGAACAACTCATGCTTGATCAATACTTATAGATACAGTTAGTTATTCTAAGTCTCCTACTCTAACATAAAACTATTTCAGGAATATTGGACACCCCGGCTTTCCACTTTCCAATCTGGAAATGATTGATTGAGCGTTTGAGTATTGACCATCTGTTGTACTAATTTGTGTTGGTGTTATTGTTGTGGGATCCTCTTGGTGCTTCACGTCTATGGGTCTTCATTAGTGAAAACAATCAAGACAAACCTAATCATAACTGGTCGGCTAAATCTTCTCATGCTTCACTTGACGGCCACTTTTGTTCAAAGTGTCAGGCAGCTTATTAACCACTAGCTGACCTCACAATGACGGACTTGTTTGACCAAGCTCCAATGACCAATCGAAGGTCAGAGCAAATCAGCAGTTGGATACCAAGGTCAAGGTTAGCACCAGTTGTGTCAGATGACTGATGGAAGCCTTCTTGACATCGATAAACAGTCATCTTATCTGGGCTCTACCATACATACTTACTATAAACTGACCATTATAATAATCTTAGTAGGGTTAGGTGACCACAGATCTGTATTTGGGCTCAATAAATTCTAGATTTTCTTTTGTTTAAATTAAAAACCTTGCCCAATATTGTAGTATATAAGCAGCCATTTTTTAAAAAAAAAATCTGGATAATTTTATTTTCTACTTGAAGAGGTCAATGACTGCAATGTTTGTATGTCAATTTCCTACATAGCATGAACATTAGAGAGAAACCTGGCTTTCCTGACATCCAGTTGACTGGATCTTTTGTGTCTGTAAAGACTGGGAAATAGGTCTCCTTGATATATGTTAGGTATTACAGGATGTCCATATAAAGACAGCAGTCATTAAATCAGGGGTCCCTGTATATTGAATAGAACCAATAGAAACATGCAAGAAGAACAATGACAACATAATCTACACAGGTGTATCAAGGTTGTTTTGTGATAATGATCTTATAAAGCTGAAAGCAAATCTTTTGTAATTTTTGAAAACCTTTACCTTTTCCAATATTGCCCCTTCAAACACACCCTTATCACACCTCTGTGTTGCTAGGAAACAACATGTCTGTTGCTGTGACTACATACCTGTCATGTTGGAGGAGGCCTTGACGCTGTCACTTGACCACACAGAGCCTGCAGTGTCTCCCGTCATCCCACCAATTCCACTGTCCGGGTAGCTGTCTCGTCCGTAACTCTCCCGTGCACATTTGTTCCGCAGACGCAGCTCATTCTCAATGAGGAGCTTGGTCTGTTTGGATTTGGTTGACACAACTTTGGGGTGACCCTGGGGTCGGTCCTGACTAGGGACTATGCTCATGCTGTGCTGGGCTGCAAATGCTGCCCTGACCTCTGACCTATCCCGTGAGGTAAAACTTTTAGCTCGCTTCAACATTTCTGGATTGTCAATCTTTGGATTATCACGTAAAACTGGATCCTCATGGAATCCTTGGTCTTTGTTAATATCTATTTCTTCAGGAGAAACTGGAAGGGACTGTAACATACGCTTTAACACAGAACTATCAAAGTCAACATTGCACATAGGGTTTACAGGGGTCATAGGGGTCAGGGGCTCTGGGGGAGATGGCCATTCTGGGGATTCTGAAGATGAAGTTTTCTGAGACAATGTGCCAGGCTTCACTGCCTGTGGTGACAGAACTGTGACACTGTCACCGTGCTTATCACAATAACTCAGACCTTGACATGACCTTGAAGAGTCACCAACAAAGGCTGTCTCCATTCGTACATTTTCATATGTCTTAGAGATCCCCGCAGGTAAGGTAGCAGACGAGCACCGACCTGCTCCTTTCTGACAAGCGCCAGATTCATTGTCATACTGGGTCTGATAATACTGTTCTGTGAATTGTATGGCAGATGCAGGTCGAGTGTTTTGTAACAAGTTATCAACTACAAAAGAGACATGGGTTGTGCCCACTGCGGGCATGGATTTCCGATTATTAACACATGTTTCAGTTTCGTTGGATTTCCTTGCTGGAGCGTTGCTGACATTATCATACACAGAGGAACTTGATGGTGGTTTTAGAATTCCTGTTGGTCTAAATAACTGTGCATCCTGTTCTGAGTCTGCTCCTGTCCGAGGAATAGTTGCAGACTTCTCCTTTTTATCTGGCTGACTGAGGTCGATGTCTGCTGTCAGATGGTCACATGTCTCAGGGAAGCCAAGCTCAAATGGACTTGACACGGCTCTCTTGTTGTGATGAACGGGTGAGTTGGGAGAGGAAACTGATGTGTCTTTGCCCTTTATCCTCTGAAAAAAAAATTACATACGGTAAATCTTTGGTCAGTTCGAACAAAATTAAACAAATATTGATGAACCTGTTCAAATTATACGAAAATATGCTTCAGAAAATAAGCGTGAATTCGAACTATCGGTGATAATGCGAAGCAGAGCACATTGTGTAGGCCCCAAAACAGTACACGTTTCGTTTGTGACACAAAGTTTAGACTACCTTATATCAGAGACCAAAATATTGAGTCTCTGCATGGTAATATGTTTTATTTGAATCAGAAACTATAATTGTATATATTATTTCGTAATGAATGGTCCGTTTAATAAATTGAAAACATAGTCTGCATAAGCTGTTGCGTTTACGAAAGCGCTATTGTAAATATAGGTCTATATGTTAGTAAAATTAGGTCAGAAGATTAACATGTGTGCTTTTAAATTATAAGTAATAGTCCTAAAATCTACCAAACTTATTTGACACCTTCAAAATTACCCATCGCTAATTGGGACACCTGTGGATTGTTTGGACTGGACATGAATGCTAATCACGTGACTCACAATAACCAGGCGGCCGATCCCTACCGCGACTTCCTGNAAATTACCCATCGCTAATTGGGACACCTGTGGATTGTTTGGACTGAACATGAATGCTAATCACGTCACTCACAATAACTGTGCGGCTGATCCCTACCGCGACATCCCGCGTGGCCTGCCCTACCTGGTGTGAGGGCACACGTTAACAGGTAATACCTTGATTGGCAATAAATAATCAAAATGTTTACTTAACACTGTATTTGACAATACACGGGCTATTTCTTAGCCTTTCATACAGCANCGTTAACAGGTAATACCTTGATTGGCAATAAATAATCAAAATGTTTACTTAACACTGTATTTGACAATACACGGGCGATTTCTTAGCTTTTCATACAGCATGACATCAGTTCGTACTGATCGCGTGCAATTTATACGTTGTCGGGGCCTTAAGTTGCAATTGGCTGTCTCGTGCACGATGTATTTTCAAACAATGCAATGAATCAACGCTAAAATCGGTGACATATATTTATGGTTTGTCTGTCACAGCTGTACTGCAATGATCACACATACAACCCATTACCCTAAACGTGTCTGTTGATCAAAGTATTGGCATTTTTTCCGTGGCCGACTGCCGCGAGCTTTCAATGGAGAAAAAAAATCTTACTTTACATTCTTCATTTGACAAGTTTGGATTATCCAAAATAGGGTCAATTATAAACAATCAGAGTTTGAACTATCACTAGCTGGAAATTTATTGTTTTTATTGAAAAATATGTGTTCGAACTATCCGCCGATTGAACTGACCGGAGGTTTACCGTAATATGGTTGCCAGGTAATTGGTAAGGGCATAAATCTACCATCGATATTGTGACAATATAATTACATATGTCCATCGACACATGGGGCTTGGGTGTTAAAGTACATGTAATAATCCTGTTTCTTCAGCAAAAATAATGATACACATTAAAGAATCCTTTTTATATCGAACTAAGAATTTACATTTGACAGCAAGGGAATTAATACCTAAAATGAGACTAATATTTAATACGGAACTTATACCTAATAGGGATCTGGTATCTAATAGGGAACTAATACCTTATATGTAACTGATACCTAATAGGGGACTAATACCTCAAACGAAACTGATACCTAATAGGGAACTAACACCTTACAGGGATCTGATATCTAAAAGGGAACTAACACTTAATAGGGATCTGATATCTAATAGGGAACTAACACCTAATAGGGATCTGATATCTAATAGGGAACTAACACCTTACAGAGAACTGATATCTAATAGGAAACTAACACCTAATAGGGATCTGATATCTAATAGGGAAATAACACTTAATAGGGATCTGATATCTAAAAGAGAACTAATACTTGAAATGGAACTGATATCTAATAGGGAACTAATACCTTAGAGGGAACTAATACCTTATAGGGAACTAATACCTTATAATGAACTGATATATAATAGGGAACTAATACCTAATAGGGAACTAATACTTTATAGGGAACTAATACCTTATAATGAACTGATATATAACAGGGAACTAATACTTAAAATGGAACTGATACCTAAGAGTGAACTAATACCTTATAGGGAACTAATACCTTATAAGGAACTGATATCTAATAGGGAATTAATACCTTATAAGGAACTGATACCTAAGAATGAACTAATACCTTACAGGGAACTGATATATAATAGGGAACTTATACCTTATAGGGAACTGATGTATAATAGGGAACTTATACCTTATAAGGAACTGATATTTAATAGGGAACTAATACCTAAAATGGAACTGATATTCATCCTATAAGAAGGATTCCATAGTGTGTCAAAGACTTATCAAGCTTACATCCACTCAATCACAAGTCAAATATACAACATACACATCATAAAATAGCTACATAGATAAGTGACAGATATTACTTTAATCCATAAGAAACTGCTTGGTCCATTTCTTAAGCTACACAACCGATTTAACAATTATACGTACATGTGATGGTCATGTATTTCAAAAACGAATGTTATAGGAAAAAGATTTTCTACTTAATCTACCTATTAGGATGCCTTCTGTAATAAGGGTGCCTGCTGTACATGAATTTGCCTCCATTTTCAGAATAAAACTTAAATGCTGATTGTTTCAGATTTATATTTTCTGGAAGAAGTCCCTTTTTTGAATTATATCTGTAGTAATACAACTTTCACTATCAACATGTTGACGGTATCAAATCTGAGGTAAGCTGAGCACCAACAAAGCCGCCCTTGGGCATCCTCTGGTGTACACTGATCAATGTAGTATCAACTCGGTAAATTTTATTTATTGCCAACAAGATTTTGTTCAAGAACTGCAATAGAAAGGCCTACAGTAATTTTGAATCATGCTTTCATAAAATATCAACTCTGAGACAAAAGCTGAACAGATTTGCATTTTAATTTGCAAAATTATGAAGAGGCACCGAATAGCTGTCTCTATTGGGTTACAGCTGAGAAACAATCACATTGGTTTTGTCTTATATTTTTATAATGCCACTTTCTTTCATTTCAACTTTCAGAAAGATTATTATATTTCACTTAAATTTCTGCACCAACTTCATTTCACAAACATGACTTGGAAAATTTGGTCAAATCAGCTGCCACTTTATTGACAGAAAATAATTGAGAATCCTGTTGAAGTTTGCAGAAACTGTTTCCAATGTTCACAACACCGTTTGCGTGCAACTTAATGCACAAACCTCTATCGCTTTCATTGCTTAAAGGAAATATACTCTTTTCAAGTCATAATTGGCAATGCAAATAAGGCCAAATGTGTGTTTGCTGTTTTCTGTTGAAATTGTTTTGTGTATGCAGACAAATCTGATTGGGAGACAGCAGTAGGCGAGGACTTAAAAAACAGGAAACATTCAGCAGGTTATTTTGACATTTTAAATGTATCTCAGTATAGCAATAAAACAATGTAGGAACTAAAGTCAAAGCATATATTTGTAAAAAAAAAAGGATATCTTTAGCATCCTACAGTAGACGAACAGTGAAGTAGAACTATTTTCATTAAATCTGCTAATACATTTCTTTTATCGTTTTAAATTTTGCTTAAATGTCATTCATAAAAATCAATGAATGAAATAAACGAAATATTTATTGAAAACAATAAGATTTTATTGTTTGTACAAAACCAGTTATTTCCTTCCGTTTTCTGTGTGCGAGGAACTGCTGTATTGAGAAGGTTAAAATGTCATGTATATAGGTAGAAAGCACAACTGACTGTTGGTAGCTGATGAGATAATGTGAACTTTTGTTCTTTATATGGGAACACTAATTCCTAAGTCTGTGGGCTTCTGTCACATAAATCACACAATGGGTTTTTAAGCTGAGAAATATATCTGCATGTATTTTTTGTTTGCTATTGATTTCAGCATCCATTTAAGTTGCAAGTTTGGATAGAGTGTGGTTATATATATATATAAAACTGTTTGTGGAAGACAGGAAGAGCGATTCTGAAGCCATGATTGTAGGTCGCCAGTCCGGGTCTACCTCCAAGTTTGGCTAAGGTTACGCCTCCATAGTCTGCAGTCTAAATGTCTTGGTTTGACGGAGGAATTCAAACACACTTTCGTCCTTGTGGCCATGTTGAAATCTCATCCATTTTCCTCACTAATGATGTATGGTAAAAAACATGGAGAAACAAGATCCTGGAGATGACTCCCAAGACTGTCTGAAGTGAAGTCCTATACAGGTTATGTTGGGCTTTGATGGACATTTACAGTGTAACAATCTAGTAAGATGTCAGAAGTTAAAAGTATCTGCATCATTAGTTCTTACTGCAGACTCAAAATGTCTAGCAGCACTCAGTGCCTCACATAGTTTTTACAGTCAACAGGACACACAAACAAATATATATAATTGCTATGAAACACGCAGAACAAACGTTCAAGTTCATCTACAAATTGATTTAAGCTAAGCCAATGAAAATCAATACCAAAGGTTTTGGTTTCTGAATTATGGAATTTGCTGAACAAGCACTTAAGTTTAACCATTAAAATATATTTCTTTATTTATTTCGAAAGTACAAAATATATGAAACTAGAAATTGAACTTTACATGAAATTATCTTAGTTAAGCCAAAGAAAGCAAGTTAATGCTGGTTTTTAAAATAATATACCTGGTATATGTGGTAATTTTCAATTAAATTTTGCATAGTTTCAATAGGATTCTTGAAAATAAGTGTGATTTATAAGCTGCAAAAGCATTACAGAGGTCACTTTAATGCAAACCCTGAAAAGCAATACTATTGAGAATCCTTTGGTTTGTTCAGTCCGTTTTCTGATTGGCTTGTTAAGTCTATTTTCTGATTGGCTTGTTCAGTCTGTTTTCTGTTTGGCTTGTTAAGTCTATTTTCTGATTGACTTGTTAAGTCTATTTTCTGATTGGCTTGTTAAGTCTATTTTCTGATTGGCTTGTTCAGTCTGTTTTCCGATTGGTTTGTTAAGTCTATTTTCTGATTGGCTTGTTCAGTCCGTTTTCTGATTGGCTTGTTCAGTCCGTTTTCTGATTGGCTTGTTCAGTCCGTTTTCTGATTGGTTTGTTCAGTCCGTTTTCTGATTGGCTTGTTCAGTTTTTTATCTGATTTGTTTGTTCAGTCTACTTCTGATTAATTTGTAAGTTCTGTTAAAGTAATTTTTCATAAATCCTGTAAAAGACAATTTATTTCAGATGAAAGTGCGAAAACAATTAACAATATTTGTGATTGGTGATTTATGGCTATAGGGTGAAGAATGTTTTACAATAATTGTTGTCGTGAACTTAATCAATTTCATGATCATAATAGGCTTTCTTGCAGGGTATATAATTTACAAGTAGATGATTTTATTGGTAGAGAAAATGATTGAAAAATATTGCACTGCTGCTTCCACACATTAAGATGAGGTTGTTGTGGAAACCGATTTTCTGTCCTGATTGGAGTGCCAGCGATTGCTGGATACTCAATCTTTGTAAAGAATGCATCTTTTACATGAGATTACTGTACCTGATGAACTCACACAATGTGATGCGTCTAGTAAAGAGACAATTTTACAAATACAATCCTGATTACCAAGAACCTGTTAACCTTGAATGCTACATAAAACTGACATAATCAATCTGTGAATATTTCCAATTTGAAAAAGTTCAATAAACTTTAGTAATATGCAAATTGAGAAGGAGAGGAGGTTACCGAGCCCTGTTATTTAGCAGGTCAATTAGTAAGGTCTGCTACAAACTCATACATTATACCAGCAGAGATTTAAATTATACTGCACTTTTTAAAAACACATCTGTACCTACTTCGTTCAGAGTTCTCATCCATTTTTTAGCCCAGTAATCATTAAAAGGAGAACTTGGTAGACATAAGCTAATTACCTGCCATTGTTTCTCATGTTTTTATTTTGCATAATGTCAAGGACTAAAGGCAATACAAAACACACCTTAGAATTTTACCAAGGATTGGTGATTATGGCATAGAATAGGCCATTCAAAATCATTGTTTGTTTATTGTTTTTCAGTTGAATAGCCCTCAGGGGATCTACAGACTTTGAATGAGGAGCTTCCAATGTAAAATGGTTCAATAGCTGCTCCCCAGTTTCAATGCAATGTAAATTTAAAGTCACTGAATTGCTTGCTCAAATCTGTATGTGACTTAATCAAGTTCGTCTGTAGTGGCTGCAGCCAACTCTTACTTCAGTCCCTATATATCAGTGGCTTCTACGTGCTTAAGATATTTAAGACCGACGGTTTCAAGTCTTTATCTGAGGCACATTGTGTTGTTACCCAACTTTATATAAGTTTACATACTAAATCATTTTAAAGGTTTTTCACAAAAAAAATACATGACAATACGGTCAATAGCACACAATGGCTAATATTTACCATTCAATAGTCCGACAAACTCTGATTGGCTGATAGCAGTGTGCAATTGTCAATTAAATTTAATCTAATGAAATTTCAACAGCAAAACATGAGATGCACCTATTTTGTTTATAAATACAAATGATTTCTTAAACTCTTCACCACAAAGTATTTGAGCAAGATGACGATACAAGAACATAGCAGTACTGCACCTTGAACTAGAACTGACATTTTGGTTCTACTGTGTATATTGAAATCATCCTAAAGGATTGGGACAAAAACATTTTAGAAACAGATCTTGACCACTACAACTCGAACAAAGATACGACAGCAGATCTTGACCACTACAACTCGAAGAAAGATATGACAGCAGATCTTGACCACTACAACCTGAACAAAGATATGACAGCAGATCTTGACCACTACAACTCGAACAAAGATATGACAGCAGATCTTGACCACTACAACTCAAACAAAGATATGACAGCAGAATTTGAAATCTTATGCAAACACTCCTTGTTAATGTCCTCATCCATTGTTACTCGTAAGTATATATATATATACAAATACAGGTTATAGTTTCTGCCATGGAAGCACTAAAGAGTTATGTACCAGGCAGTCATCTACATGGGAACTCTAATTTAAAGAGTTATACCAGAAAGTGACCAATTCTCTTACTAACACATACAAAATATATTTTCTATGAAAATATACCATAATCAAATAATTTTGAAATATATATATATAAAGTTGATGTGAGTATTATAATCATATATCATGGAGTTCATAAACATTTAAGCATAAATAAACTTCTTTAAGAAACTAAACTAATTTTTAATTTGCAGCTTCACATCTTGTAGAAAGAAATTACCAGTTCATATCTGGCATAACGCATAGACAAGATGGGTAACTTTAGTATAATTGTTTGATTTCATGTTTTTGATAATGTCAATCCCTCAATCAGCTTCCTTCCAGGAGATATAAAAAAACAATTTTACTACAAGTATGTGAATAAATTTCTCGATGAAAAACAATAGTCTGACATTAAAGTTGAAAACGATTGCTTACATTTCTTACCTTTGGTGGACTCAGTCGAAGGGAACTGGCTGAGGATGCCTTCCTACAAAATTTCTGAGCTGGATTCTACAAAATTGCAACAAACAACATATTCAAAATGGAAACAAAATTATATCCATAACATGAATGAACAATGTTGGGAATGACAGCATTATATGACATCTTAAATCCAGTTCCATGATAGCCTTTGATATAATTTCCATGATAATGTAATTATGACTAATTTGATATAATTTCCATGACAGGCTATGATATAGTTTACAAGATAGCCTCTGATATCTTTCCATGTATTTTTTTTTTATTTTATAATTTCTATGATATTGTAGGATGCATTTCTATCCAATTCTTTGTATACTCCATGATAATTCCTATTATGGTTTGTTTTTGTCTCTTCCAAAACAATGCTTTACAAAAGCATTGATTTCTTACATATATAGCCATGCTATAGACTTAGGATCCTGTCTTTATCAATATCCAGTTACCATGGCGTTCATTATTACCCTAAATCATCAGCCATGGTATTGTGAGGTTTCCTTGACTACTTGCAGTTCCAGTCAGGACAGGAAGTCAAGAGGGTTAGAGATTATGTAGGATTTGAGAGTATGTGGAATGGTTACATTTGCCATTACCTAGTACACCCCGGGGTATATTGTTTCTACCCATTGTCATAAAGACACAGCCCACTGCCATCTGTAACCCATTCTATTTAGCAGTCTAATGAACAAACACAGGGTAAATATTGACAGAAACATCAGCGGCCAACACCATTTCAACAGAAGAATACAATTTCCAGACAATGCTGTTAAAGAAATGATGAAAAATGTCAATTATCCGACATACAATACTTTAGGCAAATGATACGCTTACAAATATAGGAGGAAAGCAGCCCAACAGTCGCTGTGTTCTCTGCACTTGAATCGTAAAATAACATCTTATGTTACACAAAGGCCTACTCAAGTCACAGGAGCAGGCATAAACCTAGCATTACTGTGGTTTTTGCTGATCCGATATCAGGATATGACATGGAAGAAAAATCTATAAGTAATTCAAGTTTATTTCTTCATCTGCCACGACACTGACAAGAGCTGTTATATCATCATGCTAGATTCTGAAGATTTGATTAAATGTTATTCAATTTTCAGAGAGTCTGAATCAATTTAGGCAAACATTGGGGCAGCAGAATAAGGCCTTTAATCAATCCGCTGGCCACTGGGTTCTAGCCAAGATGGCAATGAGGAGTTCTGAATGGCATGATCTTTTATCAACAAAGACAGATTAGCCACATACCCTGATTTCATACAGACCCCGGAAAACAGGGTAGATAGAGGGACCACAGACACTGGGGGTCAAGTAGCTAATTTACTACAGGTTGTGTACTAATTACCTATAATTGAAGATTGACTTGACAAGTTTATCTGTAAAATGACATGATTTCACCAGGTGCCTTGTGATATTCACCAACCTTTAAATTAAATCTGTTTGTGTCTTTTTTCTTCAAATTGTGAACTACTTCTTTAGAGGAGCAGAACGACATTAACACAGCCATGGTATCTTGCCAGAGGACACCACGACCTTGAAGTGACTTACTAATTAAGACATCGCACTCCATCCTCCTACACATCTTTACTTTGATAGCCAATTTATTTTAAGATGGAAATAGAAAAAAAAACTGTAGGCAAGATAAATTTCCCCTTTATATCAAATCCCCCATTTTCGATCCAGCACCAGAGATAGCTGCTTCCCCTGAGTTTCACCCATAGAAACAAGTAGTGTTTGATTCGCTGGGCCTACCAGTACGCTCTCATCCCAGTACTGGAACAGTCACCTGACATTCTAGTGCTGGAGCAATCACACAGCGGTCAAAACAACAACAGACTACACTTCTAACCAGCTTAAGTATACAGAAGCACTTTATACCTGGCACCTTATCTTAAAACTATTACATCAACCAAAAACACTAGGTGAACTCATCAGCATCGTAGCTGAACCTTAATGCATGTGTACTTCAAATGGGGTTAAAGTTACTAGGAAATGTATCTTTATAATGGTGCTAATTGTTTAAAGTATAAATGAAGACTTGGAAACAATGTGTTTCAACCCTCCCAGCAAGTGCACACATACAAATATGTAACTGATGTTAAATAGACAAAGAAAACTAGAAAACATATTTACCACAATATCAACAACTAATCATGAAACCAGGTTTTCAGAAAAGATTTGTATTTCCTACCTCACATGTGGGGCACCTGTTATGAAGGTTACCAAAGATCTAAGCTCGAGTGAGCATCAACCATAGTAGACACTGAAATCTTGTACTCGACCACTCGGATTAACAATTCTAGTAAGTAACTATAACTGAAATCTTGTACTCGACCGCTCGGATTAACAATTCTAGTTAGTAACTATAACTGAAATCTTGTACTCGACCGCTTGGATTAACAATTCCAGTTAGTAACTATAACTGAAATCTTGTACTCGACCACTCGGATTAACAATTCTAGTTAGTAACTATAACTGAAATCTTGTACTCGATTACTCAGATTAACAATTCCAGTTAGTAACTATAACTGAAATCTTGTACTCGACCACTCAGATTAACAACTCCAGTTAGTGACTATAACTGAAATCTTGTACTCGACCACTCGGATTAACAACTCCAGTTAGTAACTATAACTGAAATCTTGTACTCGACCACTCGGATTAACAATTCCAGTTAGTAACTATAACTGAAATCTTGTACTTGACAACTCTGATAAACAAATCCTAGGTAGCACTAAAACTGATCAAAGGGTACATTTATCCAGATAATCATTCAAACAGTCTCTCATGTATAATGTACCTGCATCATTACAGATTTAAACAATACATATTGACACATTGAATAAAAGTTACGAGACCAGAATTATACATCAATAGTAAATTCACCTGTTTAAATCAAGAAAACAACCTGAAACGCAAACATATTTTCGAAAATATACTTTCTTAAGTGTTTCATCAAAAGGACAAATGAGTCAGAATGTACCTGAACAACGAGGATATGACCTTCGTACCTTAATAAGGGACATGTCAGGAGGAACAACACAACGACTGGAGGATACGACAAACCTGTAACCTTAATAAGGACAGAGGGACATGTTAGAAGGAACAAAACAATGACTGGAGGTTACGGCAAACCTGTTACCTTAATAAGGACAGAGGGACATGTTAGGAGGAACAACACAATGACTGGAGGATACGACAACTCTGTAACCTTAATAAGGACAGAGGGACATGTTAGACGGAACAACACACAACTGGAGGATACGACAAACCTGTTACATTAATAAGGACAGAGGGACATGTTAGGAGGAACAACACAACGACTGGAGGATACGACAAACCTGTTACCTTAACAAGGACATAGGGACATGTTAGACGGAACAACACAATGACTGAAGGATACGACAAAACTGTTCCCTTAATAAGGATAGAGGGACATGTTAGGAGGAACAACACAATGACTGGAGGATACGACAAACCTGTTACATTAATAAGGACAGAGGGACTTGTTAGGAGGAACAACACAATGACTGGAGGATACGCCAAACCTGTTACATTAATAAGGACAGAGGGACATGTTAGGAGGAACAAAACAACGACCTGTTACCATAATAAGGACAGAGGGACATGTTAGGAGGAACAAAACAACGACCTGTTACCATAATAAGGACAGAGGGACATGTTAGGAGGAACAACTCAATGACTGGAGGATACGACAAACCTGTTACCTTAACAAGGACAGAGGGACATGTTAGGAGGAACAACCCAATGACTGGAGGATACGACAAACCTGTTACCTTAATAAGGATAGAGGGACATGTTAGGAGGAACAACACAACGACCTGTTACCTTAAGAAGGACAGAGGGACATGTTAGTAGGAACAACACAACGACCTGTTACCTTAAGAAGGACAGAGGGCCATGTTAGGAGGAACAACACAACGACCTGTTACCTTAAGAAGGACAGAGGGCCATGTTAGGAGGAACACAACAATGACCTGTTACCTTAAGAAGGACAGAGGGCCATGTTTGGAGGAACAAAACAATGACCTGTTACCTTAAGAAGGACAGAGGGACATGTTAGTAGGAACAACACAACGACCTGTTACCTTAAGAAGGCCAGAGGGCCATGTTAGGAGGAACAAAACAATGACCTGTTACCTTAAGAAGGACATAGGGCCATGTTAGGAGGAACAAAACAATGACCTGTTACCTTAAGAAGGACAGAGGGCCATGTTTGGAGGAACAAAACAATGACCTGTTACCTTAAGAAGGACATAGGGCCATGTTAGGAGGAACAAAACAATGACCTGTTACCTTAAGAAGGACAGAGGGCCATGTTAGGAGGAACAACACAACGACCTGTTACCTTAAGAAGGACAGAGGGACATGTTAGTAGGAACAACACAACGACCTGTTACCTTAAGAAGGACAGAGGGACATGTTAGTAGGAACAACACAACGACCTGTTACCTTAAGAAGGACAGAGGGACATGTTGGGAGGAACAACACAACGACTGGAGGATACGAAAAACCTGTTATCTTAATAAGGACAGAGGGACATGTTGATATGACCTTCGTACCTTAATAAGGGACATGTCAGGAGGAACAACACAACGACTGGAGGATACGAAAAACCTGTTATCTTAATAAGGACAGAGGGACATGTTGGGAGAAACAACACAACGACTGGAGGATACGACAAACCCGTTACCTTAATAAGGACGGAGGGACATGTTAGGAGGAACAACACAACGACTGGAGGTTACGACAAACCTGTTACCTTCATAAGGGCCAAGGGACATGTTAGGAGGAACAACACAACGACCTGTTACCTTAAGAAGGACAGAGGGCCATGTTAGGAGGAACAACACAACGACCTGTTACCTTAAGAAGGACAGAGGGACATGTTAGGAGGAACAACCCAATGACTGGAGGATACGACAAACCTGTTACATTAATAAGGACAGAGGGACATGTTAGGAGGAACAACCCAATGACTGGAGGATACGACAAACCTGTTACCTTAATAAGGATAGAGGGACATGTTGGGAGGAACAACACAACGACTGGAGGATACGAAAAACCTGTTATCTTAATAAGGACAGAGGGACATGTTGGGAGAAACAACACAACGACTGGAGGATACGACAAACCTGTTACCTTCATAAGGGCCAAGGGACATGTTATGAGGAACATCACAACGACTGGAGGTTACGACAAACCCGTTACCTTAATACAGGAAGAAGGACGTGTTAGGAGGAACAAAACGCTGGACAGGTGTTTATAAGTGGACTCCCAGAATAGCTATGTAAAGGCATAGCCAACCTCTCCAATTACTAGAACACCTGTCGTAACGGAACTGTGTCTACCCGATCTCAGATCAGACATACAAGTCACCACATTGTTTAACACCAAGATCTAACATTTTAAAGCCAGAGTAGAGTATTGTACTTACCTTTCTTTTGGAAATGATAAATCTATACAGATCCATTGATATGTATCCTTGAATTACACCTTACAACATATATACCTGTACAATCAGTCTAAATGTTAACTTACAATTCCCTACCTAAACCACCAGTACAGCCATTCTTCTGTGAATATCCCTCAGGTGATTTTCCATGTATTTGAAATGCATGTGCAGATACAGGCCGTGAGAATTACAAGTATTGGAGGGGGAGGGGGAGGGGGAGGTAACAGGAAAGTATGATGATATATCAACGTACCTGTGGGGAATTAGTACCAGGTAACCTTTAATACCATCCTAGATCTGGGAACTCACCAGTAAAATGTGCGGGGTTTAACACCTTACAGGTGTTGTAAATAACTAATATTGACATCCTTCTCAGGTAAATAGGATTGAATCTTGCCCAAAGTCTATCTGTGACATCTAGTTCTATAGTAGAACCTATCCAGGTTAGGTTAAGAATTCCAGTGCCTACAAATATATACCCAATACACACTACCCTCTGGGACTCCAAACTTGACACATGCCCTTGTCTATATATAAATGTATTAGTCTATGTATATAATCTGACATTACCGTCCCCGGTCTATATTTAAAGCATTATTCCGTGGATTACTATGTAAATATGCGAGATCATGTTAATTTGTTGTGACAATTAAAGCTAACGTTACATTATAAATTGATATCACGGGGACTGTTTAGACATTAAACAGTGGCAACATCTAACCCAGGGACACTTTAGATACCATGCCAGGTCTACAGAGGGGACCGTCACTCTGACCCACTCTCCAATACCAAACATAGTCATCCCTTCCATATTAAATCTATAGAGTCTCTGGAGAGCCTGTCGTCATACAAAACCCAATATTTACACACAAAACCAGACTGGCTTCTCTTCCCTGAGACACATGGAGTCTGATTTAGGACCTTTATCGTTGTGTATCATTTTCTCTCCTCCTAACTAAAAGGATGTAATGTGGCTATAGGATTTAATGTATACCATAGGGTTAACTACAATTCTTAAAATTCCGGGTACAACAGAAGATGCGTGATGAATAATGATCATCTAAATATGACTCTGTCAGATTTACTGCAAAATATTGATTCAATTGGATTTCTTTTTAACAAAACAATTTCTTTTAGATTATAGAAGAAATGAGATAATTCATAATTTGGAAGAAATTAAACTTACCAATGCAGACATGAATTTATTACAACATAAAAAAACTTACAGTGCAGCAGTCCCGGAAACGCTTGGCATCTGACGGGGTGGTGAAATTGAGGCCCCACTCGACTTTGGCCGCAGAGTCACGCCAATGGACAAAGCTCTCAGTGGCTGGACATATTATAGTCCCTGTAAAGATACCACAAGTCAATTAAAACTGACCAGCACACAAAGAGCCATATTATAGTCCCTGTAAAGATACCACAAGTCAATTAAAACTGACCAGCACACAAAGAGCCATATTATAGTCCCTGTAAAGATACCACAAGTCAATTAAAACTGACCAGCACACAAAGAGCCATATTATAGTCCCTGTAAAGATACCACAAGTCAATTAAAACTGACCAGCACACAAAGAGCCATATTATAGTCCCTGTAAAGATACCACAAGTCAATTAAAACTGACCAGCACACAAAGAGCCATATTATAGTCCCTGTAAAGATACCACAAGTCAATTAAAACTGACCAGCACACAAAGAGCCATATTATAGTCCCTGTAAAGATACCACAAGTCAATTAAAACTGACCAGCACACAAAGACTATCCCTAACACACAGCAGAAACAGCTAACTCAGACGGACAGCACACAATAAATTAGTACTGTTTGTTTTTGTCCTAAAGTTGCTCCATACATATATGAGTTGTGTAATATATGTTACCATTCGTTGACTGAGTGTGTACGCTTTATATGGATCCTGGTCAACCAACCATATGGAACCCACCGCGGCCTATTGATTTTAGCCAGCTGTTTCAGGCTAACAAACATTTTCCGTCTAAAACATGAGTTGGGGTGTTAAAATTGCCTGCTATAGTGTTGGAATCCATTGTGACAACAGTCGAGCACACATCATTGTTGTCCTTATACTATTAGCCTTTGAGGATCTGTATGGAACAACAGCTTCTAGTAACACCACAGCAAGTGCACATTTCATTATAAACCTTCTTTGTCAGGCATATTAACTAAAACCCTGTCTTGTGTTAACCCACAGGAAGTTTAAATAATGTTGTGTACAATAGAATTTACGAGTTACCTGGCCGAATAGGTCATTTGTCATAATCATATCTTACTAGCGTTGACTCTCATGGCCTAACTTGGCTGTTGGTGGGTCAACCCAATACAGACTACCTGTGGCACTAGAATTCACTAAGTGGATAACAACCTCATTTATACATGAAATTAGATTTTCTTATGTTAAGAAAGACTTTAAAAGTAATTATAATTTGTTTAAAAATAAATTTTAACCTACTTTTTAACTCCAGAAGTTGGAATTTCCCCTTGACATTCCGAGCCTAATAGCAGTGCTACCATGCATACGATCATACTGACAGTGTGTAGTACTGAATTCACAGGAAATGCCCAGGACAAAATTCAGTATCCTTTTTATATAATTTGTACTTTAATGTTCTTGGATATTTCATTACACAAAGAAAAGAACAAAGCCAGATAATGTTTTCGTATAAAGTAATGAATAATTTATAGCATGCAAATTCAACCTTGTTTATATTTAATGAAATTCTTATCTTGTGTTGCATGCAAACAACTGATTCAATAAAAACCGACTGACACAAGTTATCATTCAGGGTCCAGCAGTGTTAACTTAATCGGTAATTAATTCAAATCTTAAAACATGTTATTATGTAACTAACTAAAATTGGAAAAGTCTTTTTATATTAATGGTCTTCAACCAATCCTGTTCAATCCTCATACATGCAGATTTCATAAATAATTTTCTAAAAATTAATGTTCTGTTAAGCTCAGACAGCACTTTGAAATACGAAACTCTGATTTTGTTTAAATTGACTTGGAATACATCAAGTGATCAGATCAGTTAATAAAAACATGACGTAATTTGGAAGTAAAAAGTCTTCTTTGTATGTGAAATCAGAGTTATGTCCTTGGTAAACAACAACTACTGCAACTCCCTACAGTAATTGTCACTTTGAATATAAATGTTCAGAATTATTTAAATTCAGATAAAAGAGATCTTAAATATTTAATGGACTCTTGATGATACAAATCTATTACCTGATTCTGTTTTCCAGTATTTTTAAGGAGTATATCCACTTCTAACTCAATAACTAATAACAATTAACGTTTCTCTGACATTTCCTATCAAGGTACACGAGACCCAGGCAGCGACCTGTACTGCTAGTTAACAGGGATTTTTTTTTTAAACTTTAAACATGAACAATAAGAAAACTAGGTTTACTGGACCATTGCTAGATGCCACCTCAGTGTATTGAATGTCATTCTCCTCCGTAAAGTATGGAAATCTTTCTGCATAATCCGATATAAATTATAAAACCATTGTCATCCCTTTTCCTTTACAGGTATATACCGGTGAGGATTTAAAAAGTCCTGTTTCTAATAGAAATAAGTCATGATACGCCTTACTTGATAAATCCCCTCGGAATGTTATGATATTCCGCTACGACAGCTTGCTGGATCATACAAGGCCACTGTTTATTAAATGTAACATAAGAAACTGTATTAAGCTTAAATTCTTGTTTGTGCTATATTTGGGCAAAAACTTTACAAGAGAGGATCAAACAGAAATAGCTGTATTTCTCGGAGCTATTGTCAGTACTTGACGATTGAGATCACCTTTTTGGACAAACTAGACTAACTTGAAGTATTTAAGATGTTGCTGAGGGTCAATAGGTTATCCTGAGGTGTGAGTTATGACACTGTTTTATCATGTCCATAGGAAAATGTGTAATGGTATACCCAGAAGTATGCGTAATTCATAGGAAGGGCTGTTACCTTCATCACGCAAGTTGCTAGACACCTTTTCAAAAAAATGGACAATACTAAATCTGAAAAATAATTCCAGAATACAACAATAGCTATCCTGTATCATAAGTAAAACTTGTTTGAACTGTATTTTAAACAAAGCTGAATCTACACCCTCTACATTCGATATATATATATATATATATATCATTTAGTGTAGGAAAGTTTTGGTTCTATAATCTCAATGAACAAGGTACTACTGATGTTGTGAAGAATATAGTCAGTAAATCAATTCAATATGCAATATTATTAGCTGTATTTTATGACTGCTATCATAGAATGGTAACTTCAGAACAACTGACATTATAAAAAATAGCTGCTCTGGAACAACTGACATTATAGAGAATAGTTGCTCTGGAACAACTGACATTATAGAGAATAGTTACTCCAGAAATACTGACATTATATAAAATACTCCAGAACTATACTGACATTATATAGAATACTCCAGAATTACTGACATTATATAGAATGGTTACTCCAGAAATACTGACATTATATAGAATACTCCAGAAATACTGACATCATATAGAATACTCCAGAACTACTGACATTATATAGAGTACTCCAGAATTACTGACATTATATATAGAATGGTTACTCCAGAAATACTGACATTATATAAAATACTCCAGAACTATACTGACATTATATAGAATACTCTAGAATTACTGACATTATATAAAATACTCCAGAAATACTGACATTATATAGAATACTCTAGAAATACTGACATTATATAAAATACTCCAGAACTACTGACATTATATAGAATGGTTACTCCAGAAATACTGACATTATATAGAATACTCCAGAACTACTGACATTATATAGAATACTCCAGAATTACTAACATTATATATAGAATGGTTACTCCAGAAATACTGACATCATATAGAATGGTTACTCCACATTTACTGACATTATTCCCCCTCAGCTATAAAAAGCAAGAGGTTATTATTTTATTCTGTTCATAGGAATTAAATGTTCTTTCATTACCAGGAAAGATGAACTATTTATTTTAACAAAATGCTGTTTCAGTAATTTACTGCATGATAAAGAGTCAGAACTGTACATGCTAATGACTACAATCTGTTTGAAAAGTCGGCTTTCTCGACACCTGACTCTTTTCCAAACCTTAATGTCTATCACTCAAATCCTTTATTCACAATGCACTGCAATTACATACCATAAATCGGGCATTAAAAATAATGGAAATGCAGCAAAATATGAATTTTAATTTTTGTTCAAATTGTGTTTTCACCTTTTTCGTCAACCTGACATTCTCAAATAGGTATTGTGGGCATGACCGTAAATAATGTCCTAGTTTGGCATAACAAACACTTTCCCAAGATGTGTTTAACTCATTGTAACTAAACTACATCACACAAAACTACTTCGTAATAAATTAACATAACTGTAACACTGCAGTGTAGTATCAGAGTACATTGTATTACTATAGCACTGCATTCCAACTATAAACGACATCACTATAACACTACACTTTAGCTAACACACATCACTATAACACTACACTGTAGCTATAAACGACATCACTATAACACTACACTGTGACTTATAATAAACGACATCACTATAACACTACACTGTAGCTATAAACGACATCACTATAACACTACACTGTAGCTAAACTACATCACTATAACACTACACTGTAACTATAAACGACATCACTATAACACTATAGTGTAACTAAACTACATCACTATAACACTACAGTGTAACTAAACTACATCACTATAACACTACAGTGTAACTTAAACTACATCACTATAACACTACACTGTAACTATAAACGACATCACTATAACAATACACTGTGACTTATAATAAACGACATCACTATACCACTACACTGTAACTATAAATGACACCACTATAACACTACAGTGTAACTAAACTGCATCACTATAACACTTCACTGTAACTATAAACGACATCACTATAACACTACACTGTGACTTATAATAAACGACATCACTATAACACTACAGTGTAACTAAACTACATCACTATAACACTACACTGTAACTATAAATGACATCACTATAACAATACACTGTGACTTATAATAAACGACATCACTATAACACTACAGTGTAACTAAACTGCATCACTATAACACTTCACTGTAACTATAAACGACATCACTATAACAATACACTGTGACTTATAATAAACGACATCACTATACCACTACACTGTAGCAAACACACACCACTATAACACTTCTCCCTGTAACTATAAACGACATCACTATAACACTACAGTGTAACTAAACTACATCACTATAACACTACAGTGTAACTAAACTACGTCACTATAACACTACACTGTAACTATAAACGACATCACTATAACAATACACTGTGACTTATAATAAACGACATCACTATACCACTACACTGTAGCAAACACACACCACTATAACACTTCTCCCTGTAACTATAAACGACATCACTATACCACTACACTGTAGCAAACACACACCACTATAACACTTCTCCCTGTAACTATAAACGACATCACTATAACACTACACTGTAGCTAACACGCATCACTATAACACTACACTTTAGCTAACACACGTCACTTTAACACTACACTTTAGCTAACACACGTCACTTTAACACTACACTTTAGCTAACACACGTCACTTTAACACTACACTTTAGCTAACACACGTCACTTTAACACTACACTTTAGCTAACACACGTCACTTTAACACTACACTTTAGCTAACACACGTCACTTTAACACTACACTTTAGCTAACACACGTCACTTTAACACTACACTTTAGCTAACACACATCTCTATAACACTACACTGGAGCTAACACACATCACTATAACACTACACTGTAGCTATAAACGACATCACTATAACACTACAGTGTAACTTAAACTACATCACTATAACACTACACTGGAACTATAAATGACATCACTATAACACTACACTTTAGCTAACACACATCTCTATAACACTACACTGTAGCTAACACACATCTCTATAACACTACACTGTAGCTAACACACATCTCTATAACACTACACTGTAGCTAACACACATCACTATAACACTACACTTTAGCTAACACACATCACTGTAACACTATACTTTAGCTAACACACATCACTATAACACTTCACTGTATTCTTTCTGGTGCAGAGTTAATCAAATTTCATAAAAATGTTGCCATGGCACTCGAGGAACAACCCATTTTTAGGGCCTTTATTATAATTCTCTTGAGAAAATTTCCCTTTCACATCTGCAGGGTTGTACAGATCATATCGCTATCAAACTAAAAAGTACTCTATACAAACTTTATTTTAACACTCAAACTAATTCTAAAATACGCCATGATTTCCCCGGAGTTTTTCGCAGTTCAAACACTTAAAGCCATGGCTGATCTGCCTTTGGCTTTCTGAATTCCACACAACAATTAATAAAATTAAAAATTCCTTCACAGTTGGTAATTGGTAGAGTACTGATGAAGGCAATATTGCGGGCACCATGACTACAAAGTGTTAATTAGGACACCTCTCCGGCAATTACACCCAGATTCTCAAGTATTTATTGAATTAAAGTAACATACAATATAGTCAGTTTTTAATAAGAGATATCTCCCTGCAAATTAAAACAAATGTGAAAGAATAAGGATCAAGTACATCAATAAACACTGCTAAATTGCCTCCGATACCATGGAATAGAAAGCTAGCTATCAGTGTGAATTACATTCCTGTCATCTGTACTGTTATACACAGGTTGATCCAATCTCCTCATGTAGAATATCAATTCTAGAATTAGATTTCTTATAAAGTGACTATTTTGATGTAATAATTTTTCAAAGCTACAATCTACAATTGTTTAAGGAAGAAAAAAAAAGAGTTCTGCTATGTATTGATTTACACTTATGCTGTCAGTAATGTTATGATACCAATACAATTAGGATATTTCTACAATGATCAATCAGATTATAATTGCTTGGATTGCTTAAGTGCCCTTACTGCTTCTATCATAGTGAGGAACTTCAACATCAGTTCAAGAGAAAAATGCCAATGTCAAAATCTCTCAACAGATGTAGACTTCTGTCACTAGTAATTAAGTGCTCGTGTAATGCAACCAGGACCTCATAGTGTTCCAAAAAAAATTAGAACCATTAATTATTACACAGAACAGCTTTTTACAATAAACTTAATCAATAATGTCTAAAAAAAAACACCATTTAACATGATCTATGAAAGTCCAAGGGACATGCAGACATATTCTTACCTCTATCACTGGCATCCAAACCACATCACCGAAAATGTCTGACACTGGACCAGACTATTTACATGATTCTGTACAAGGAACAGAAAAACCAGGGATGAATTCCCATATCTAGATATCTGCCTGTCTCCCTGATCTAGACATACCTCCCATATCTAGACAAATCTTTCATATCTAGCCTTCTTTCATATCTCCAAGTCACACCTCCACATCCGCCATTACTCAGGACATAAAATTCTAACCCATATTTCAGATATCTGGACATAAAATTTATATCATATTTGTTATTTTGCCAAACAGACGTATATGATAGATGTGTTTTTTGGGTCCTGTTTTTGATAAGAAAACATTAAATACATTTGCAGCTAGGCCGATAAATTTGACCAAAAATATCAAAGAACTTTTCGGTGCGATAAGTAATAAAATAACAGTACGATACAGATCAAAATGCATCACAAACTGAATTCTGAATTCTTCTTCTTTATATAAATATTTTATGAAAAACATTTCGACAATGGCATGTAAATATTGCCAATCCACTCCATTTTCTCCAGGATACGTTGCCATTAGGATGTCCGGTGTATATGAACAACAACATATGATGGCAGTGTACCTAAATTACCCAAGGAAATTAGGGAGTTATAATAACATGTCCATCCAAGATCTTATCTCAGATTTCAGTTTAACACAAACTTAACAAAAGATCTTTGTAAATAATTTCCTCAAAAGATTGAAATGAAAATAGACTATGTAACAATTAACAGAAGGACAGGAAGTTAATTGAGTCACTATGACACCGATTTCTGAGCTGCTTCAGTTTCAATGCTTTTGACGATTTTGTTCATGAGAAAATCAAACAGTATATTGTACTTATGTGAACTTAACCTGCAGCCAGCAAATTGATAACAAACTCAATGATAACAAACTCACCAACACCTCAAGTAGACAGTCCTGACCATCACGACCTGTCATCAATACTCTGTGGTAAACAGTGTGACCCTATCTCTGAGGGTGGCCAGTAGTACTTTACCTAGTGTACCTGTCCATTTACTCTCAGGTATTCTCACATAGCAACAGATTTTCTATGCAAGTATTTAAATTATTATCATAAAAAATGAAAACCTGACACCTCGGAGTCAGTAGCAGAGGTCAGATCACGATGATAGAATTGAGAGGTTGGGTTAACATTGCCGAGACTATACCCTGTTCTCCGCTACACAGACGAAGGGAACACTTGAAGGTCAAATAAATAGAACAATATCACCTTTACCAAGGACAAATGACAGCACACACATTGCCATAGTTACACTTACTGTGAATAGAACACTTACACAGCAACAGATTCACCAATGTTATATGTAAAACACAACAATTCACAAGGAGTTCAGGTTATCATATAAGATATGTTGCTGCCTGCTTGATGAGTAGCCGATGGGCTGACCATAAGTCTGACAATTAAATACTGTCAGACGAGGGTAGATTATAGCAATGTCAGACGAGGGTAGATTATAACACTTAATTCACTGTCAGACCCAGTTTCACTATAACACTACATGTTATGTAACAAGGCCAGCATGACCTAAACAGGCTCTCCACTTGACATCAAACTCACAGCAATTCAAACAGCAAGGTCAGACATATTTGAATACAGCTGACAATCGGGTAGCATGTGATATTGATGGGCCATTCTTTACCCACCTTACACAGACCGTGTCCTTGACACACTTCCACCCCATACATTACAAGTGTTATTAGGCTGTACCACTGGCCTGGTATACCAACACCCGTCCTTAATTACCTGTGATTAATAATTACCAAGTTACCTGTACATTCCTATTGATCTTTACAGCTTTTCTGTTCATTCACTGTGTTTACTAGATATTCGTGTCACGTACAGCAGATAACGGCACCAAACAGCTCACCACTCTCAGTATAGTTAATTTAAACATTTGAAAAATCGTTAAAATGGATTGGTGGTGCAAAAATCTTGTTTAAATAGAGCCAATTGGGAAACAAGTTTTTATTACACATGGAAGATTTCTTGATCAGCTTAAGTTACTTGTATTCGTCACTTCAATAATGGGATTACCTTCGACATAGTCTTTTTAACTACACAACCCCTATCTCATGTCTCAACGCTCCAGAGAACACAGAAAAACATCCAGAGTTTTTCAAAAGTGAACATTCTTTAACAAATAGCTACAATGATAAGCAATATCAGAAGTGAGATAGTGAAATGTTTGTTAATTGTTTTCCTATAGACTTAAATGGTGGAAAACCCTAATTAGGTGTTAAGTGAACTAATGAGAATGAAAGTAACGAGTCAATCCTAATTTCTGGCCGAGCTACTTAGAAGTGACTGAGTGACATAGAATCCACACCTTGTCAACAATAAACAGGTGAGTAGATTAACAGATAAATTACAGGTAAAGTGTGCATCTAGACAATTCATCTCCCCAGACAATTCTGTGTCGTAGGTGTCACTGCTACACATGTACGTAATCCAGATAAGTATATATTACAGGTGAACCATTTACCTGTCACAGGCGGCAACCATTACTCACCTGGCTGTATAATCTTGACATCAAAGATCTTCTCCACGTGTCTGTTGTAGGCAGTCACCTGGAACACTGTGTCCGGGTTATCCTCCACACAAGATATGTTAATTGGCACCACATCCTCCGACACACGCTTCCATCGCATGCCATCTCCGTCTCCTTGTACCCGGAATATCTCTGCCCAGAGTCTGCAAAATACACAGGTTCCTAAGTCAATACCTGTACCCAAAGACTCTCAAAAATACGGAAGTCCCGCAGTCAATAGGTTATGTATAGCTGTTGTTTAATTGAAAATGTTCACAAAGTAATTCCAATGCATCGTCATCAGTAAAAATAGGCACTATAATCTCATCATTCAATACATCTCAAACAGGAATCAATATTGTCTAACATCCTGCATCTATAAAACAGGAGCAATTCACAATTCAATACCATATATCGGTAGACTATAAGTCAGACTCATCTACCTTTTCCAATATCTGTTAGACCTTTACTAGGTTTTCTATAGACAAGTTTTAGGAGATGTCCGCATTAATGCAGCACACATCAATGACTTGGTCGATATATATAAATAGCTTTCTAAACTGTTTAATATCCATGTCAATACTGACACACAATGAGGGATGTGTACCGCGCGCCAACTGTCGCAGACAGCAAATGGTATATATGTGTGACGGTACTGCTGGACAAAGCACAAACTGAAACAAAAGCTTCAGTAACATATGGCTAGGTATCTATAATGTACGAAATGACAACATGTTCAGCCACAATATTTCTATAACCTGTGTTTCTGAGTGAACATCTGATCATTCAAACTGTCAAAAATTATTATCCTGTTGGCATTACAAGGCATTAATTTTCAGTGATTTGACATGAAACAATTAAGATATGGAAGCAGATGACAGATCTATACTACAGTACCAGTATGTTAAAATACACAGGAATTATAGTTAATTCATTGTTATGTACAGCTGTGTAAAGGTCTACAGAACACTTGTATTGATGGCTTCTGTATTTCCTCCAGCAGCATTCACCATTAATTCATTATGACCCTTTTGTGATAGAACTGTTCTCTTATAGTTTTGTCCGGTGGAAGTATAATGTTAGATGCTGGCATACGTATACTTCTCCAGACAACTATACCAGAGAACTCTCCCCTCGTATACTTCTCCAGACATCTACACACCAGAGAACTCTCCCCTCGGGAGAAGGCCATTAGAGTTTAAGTACATCACTAAGAATGAACCTTGTCTGGTAGTAATAAGTGAACTCTTAATTAGAATACATCTCTCCTTCTTTGCATGTCCCTGACATTTGGTCCACATTAGAAATATCATCCAATAAACCATTCTATTAATCTCAGCCCCTGCAGATGAGTCTGAATTTCTGCTCTGAATCTGATTGTTGATGCTATGCAAAACAACATGATGAAATTAAAGTAGAATTTGCAGTATCCCAACCATAAGGGTTGCAACTTGCTGCCCTACAGGCACTAAAACATTAGGGTGCTTGTCGGTAAGTGTACTCAACATCAAATAGGACTGGAAACCTCTCGGGAACTAGGTAGATCTTGACTCTCACCGGGATTTCCTATCCCATCCCCACTGATGCTGGGTAGGCATGAAACTGGGAATCCCACTGAGATCTCATATTCTGCTGGCAGATTTCAACCAGGATTTTGCTCCTGGTGTGATTGTTGGTATTCATCCAACCAGAATATACTAGGTAAGTTAATACAAAACCAGAGCTGTATTCATCTCTTTCGCTACATGATGATAGATATAAGTTAATACTTTATGTAGCTCTAGGATATGATCTATCAACTGGTGGTTTTTGTTACATAAGAGAACATTTGGTTTTGTTTTCCCATCCAAAACAATAACTCAAAGTCAGATAACCAGGTGTGCACCCTTTACTGGAGTCAGCAGAGTTATCCCCCTTTAAAGTAACCAGCCAATTAACACAAGCTTTAATTCAAACAGTGCCACGACATCCAAATGTTTTTTTTATGTTTAGTGTTATTAGTGCTATGTAGAATTTACAGCCCTTAACCTTTGTGATAATCATGATATATAGGTAAGTGCAGACCTAATATAGTAAAGAAATCTAATTTCAAGGACACGTCATTTCCACATTTCCCACTAGATACTAGAATTACAGACTGTACTTTATATTGAAATCTAATTAATTCAAATTAATGTCCAGTTTAAATCTTATATACAACATTGCTAAACTCCATGCTTCATTCTGAAGAAATGTCAGAACAGACCTGAGACAGGACATCACTGGAACTAAACAGGGTTCGATGTTTAATTAACCAGGATCTCGGGGGTGGGGGGACTACACTGTTAATATCAGACAAAATCCTGACAGTTCCTGGTGGTACAAAAGTGGTATCGCAACGAAACTAATCCAGGACCTCAGTGGGATAACCAGCAGTACCAGGAATACAAAAAGATATAGAGGTGGGTTCCCTAAAGGGAGTTTGGTGGGATGCCGGCAAGATTCCCACACATATTTTCTCATGGATAGTTATCTCATATAGCCAAGGTCAGCAGAAAAATATACCCAATAGAACAAGGGTAGTTATCCAGGTACTTTCTGAAATCTTTATGCAATGCACTAATATATAACAAGCTTTTCTATTGGCCTCCCCACACCCTTCAACCGTTAAAATGCCTGAAAATGCAATAACAAGATTTTGATATGGTGGAAATGGATTTCTAATTACTATTTTTATTAACTTTTGGTTTTAATTTCGAAGTGACATTTGCTGAAATCTTTTTCCACAGGATAAAGTGTTTTAGTAATGTCAAGATAATCGTTTGAAGTTTGGTTTCCTGTCACTTAAGTGTATAAGAACATGTGACGTTGGTGCACGTGGACCTGCACTTATTTACATTTCAGGAAGCATTCAATATCAACTTGTTCCACAGAAAAGGTCATGCATACATCTTAGACACTCCCTGTTGTAATCAACTCGCCCACCATCGATATTTATTTTAATCTTCTCCGACAAAAATAAAAGTGGATTGTAATTTTTACAGCAATTAACTTCTCAATAATGAAACTGGATCTGATCAATAACTTTTTTTTTTATAAAATCCTTTCACAATTGAAAATCCTTCTCAGAGGATAAGTCATTATAGGTGGTCACTGAAACATTGACAAGCAGTTTATAGACAACAGACAAAGATTCAGTATCTATTAGTCCTGTTAGGTCAAACATTTCATTTAGAGAATTTTATAATATTGTCAGGACACCTGACCATTGCTTGTCTTGTCTTTTTCAGCATTCTAGGAAACCTTAACAAAAACCATATTAGAAACTAACTCCCTTATTTATTTCTGAGAGCCCTTTTATCACCACTGGCTATTTGAGTAGTTGTGAGGTTTCAGCCTTGGAAAATAAAAGTCAGTTTGACCGTCACGTCTAGCTCTAGATCTGATGCCAGTATTAACGTTCTACATGTAAAGTTTCTGTATCAGCCAAGAATATAATCAATCTACCATTCCAGTCACTGTTTTATACATTTAAAAACAGGTTCCTTTATATAAGGTTTGTATACCTTTATACCCCAGATACTGGTTCCTTTGCTATAACAGGTGACCAGTTAAAACAGGTTCCTATAAGTTAAGGTTTGTACCCACTAAGGTCCTAGAGGACCTTTATATCCCCAGATACTGATCCCTTAGCTATATAACAGGTGACCAGTTAAAACAGGTTCCTATAAGTTAAGGTTTGTACCCACTAAGGTCCGAGATGACCTTTATATCACCCAGATACTGGTCCCTTAGCTATAACAGGTGACCAGTAGGATAATGCTGTGACATGACCAGAAGCTCCCGACCAACAGGTAATGCAGACTGCACACTGACATTAATGGTAGGTTTAGCACATAAAGACAGCAATATGTCTGCATGCTGCCATTTATCAAATGTGACCACTGCTGCATCCTGTGCATGGGCCTATATTACATGTCTGTATTTACACACATAGTGAAGAGCTGACACACATCAGTGCCTGGACACAACATCACAGGTATATCATTAGTTCAGACACAGACCAGTTTACTGTTGTTATGACAGAATCTGGGCAAAGGCGCTCTATCACATGAAATACAAATGGATTATAATCGTTCTATTAAATGCTCATCAGAGATCAAACCGTTACCCGTCTACAACAGAATAAAACATAGCATTGTCAGATATCCAACCATTACCCTTCTACAACAGAATAAAACATAGCATTGTCAGATATCCAACCGTTACCCTTCTATGACAAAATAAAACACAGTATCATTAGATATCCAACCGTTACCTTTCTACAACAGAATAAAACACAGTATCATCAGAGATCAAACCGTTACCCTTCTACGACAGAATAAAACAAAGTATCATCAGATATCCAACCATTACCCTTCTACGACAGAATAAAACACAGTGTCATCAGATATCCAACCGTTACCCTTCTATGACAGAATAAAACACAGTATCATCAGATATCCAACCGTTACCCTTTTACGACAGAATAAAACATAGCATTGTCACATATCCAACCGTTACCCTTCTACGACAGAATAAAACACAGCATCATCAGATATCCAACCATTGAATTCTATCGATTACAATTGAATTATCCTACCACCTTTGAATTTGATTTTTTACATCTAACCCTCTATATTCACCCATCATTTCTGATGTTTACATTATGCCCTATAGTGTTTGTTTTTCAGATACAAAGCAAAGCTAGATTCTATAAAATGATTTATCATTATTATAGGTAATTGTCGTACAGATTTCCGCTACAGTTTTAGGTCATACAGCTAGGTGACCATTAACGCCCAGTGATGAAACAGTCTAACCAAGATTTGTCCAGGTCAGCATCAAATTAGGTTTAAGGCAAATGTGTTTTTTCTTGAGTTATATATAAATGATTCTCTGACAGTCATTACTGTTCAGAAGTGATCAGAAATGTTTCCAGACTAACCCGAATCCCCTATTACCAGTATCACAATACAGTGGGATTTGTTATTGAATTTTAATCTGATAGCTCCTTTTATATCTAGAAAAGTTAGAAAAAACCTGGCGTGGGATTTATGTTTTAGTGTGTAAATTCCACCCATCATATTGATGTTACCCAGATGAACAAACAAACTAATGAATGAAAATAGTGTCCTCTACAAAC